GTCTATCTTTTTGTTGATCATGTAGTGTAGAAGGGTTGACTTAGAAGAATATTTCGTTCTTCTCCGGACGAAATTTGTTCCTTTTCATTTTTTCCGAGAGAGACTGGTGGGTGTTGTCGGTTTGGTTCGGAGCAGAACTGGCTGTCACTGCCAAGATATCTCCGGGTGAAATTGTCATGTCTCCGGCGTGTTTGTCGTCGACAATATTGTTCTTTCTCATTGGCTTTCCATTCTCGCGAACGTCCCCATTGTTGGGGCTTCTGTTTCGTGATTGGCTTTCTCACTTTCGTCATTTTGTGTCTTGTGTGGTGTGATGTTCTGCCCGCATACTCGGATGCGTCCGAACTCCAACTATCTCTATGCTTTTCTGCCTCTCTCTCGAACCTTCCCCGTCGTCTACACTCATCTATGCATTTTCACTTTGAATGCCGTGAGGCATCGCAGAGAAGAAAATACAACACAAGGGCCTCTTTATACATTGATGGTCCGTCTGGCTCTCCGCGCTGGATGCTTTTTGATTCCAACGTTGAATGTTGTCAATTATTTGGCCCATCAGAACTCCCCGTCTGCACGAGCATTCGTACATCCAGTTCCTATTCCATTAGACAATACACTGAAAAATTTGAATGCGTCGAGGGAGGGACAACCCGAAAGGCGACGCCGATGGGTGTTCCAATGTGACGAAATTTGAATTAAGGTAGCACGACTGAAAGAAACAATTGCATGATTGGGCAAAATTTGATGTAAACAACCACCATAAATTCTATGAAAAATAGAGAACGGCTTGCCAAAGAGAATGCTGACCAACGCCCAGAGAATATGTCGACGAGGGACCGATTTTTGACATTGTCTGTTGCTATCTTGCCTTTCTTTCACTGTCTTTTTTTTTTTCTTTCTTTTTTCGTCTTTAGCGTTTGCACATCATGATTCTCGTTTTCCGAAATCATTATCATACGCATCCCAAATGACAAAAATGAAACAACATCACAACCGTTGCATTGCGAGAAAACCGCGGAGAAAGCCATTACAAAAACTCAATTTTATCGATCAAATGAATACAGTTCATGTAACGTAACCGATTACAGAGCTTGCACGTCAAAGCTTAGTCCATATCAATCGCCCAAAGCCAGAGCACAACGGGATCCGTAATGTTAACCATAGTATGGAACTAAAAACAACCTTATCAGGGTACAAAATGGGCCTCCCGATGAGTTGGCATAAGCGCGCAACGAATCTTCAACGATTCGAAGAACATTATCATCGTCACCGACAAATAGTAGAGAGTTATGTTGACCGGTGACACCGCCCTCAGAGCTCTCTCTCTCGCTCTCTCTCTCTCTACATCTATCTATCTATCTATCTATCTATCTATCTATCTATCTATCTATCTATCTATCTATCTATCTATCTATCTATCTATCTGTCTATCTCCGCAGTCCCAAAATCACACACATGTATTATTTATTTATTGGATTGCTCTCAGTTTTATTCTGAAAACCCGACGCACTCACTCGGCAGTTCTCGCATGCCTATATGGCAAAGATCAGAACCAAGAACCGGCCCGTAAAGATACTACAATGACAGCACAGCGCACGACTGATATAAGCACAATCCGATTCAGATGCACTCTCTCTCTCTCTATCTCTATCTATCTCTCTATCTCTCTATCTACTATCTATCTACTATCTATCTATCTATCTATCTATCTATCTATCTATCTCCGGAGTCCCAAACTCACACACATGTATTATTTGTTTATTGGATTGCTCTCAGTTTTATTCTGAAAACCCTACGCACTCACTTGACAGTTCTCTTATGCCTATATGGCAAAGATCAGAACCAAGAACCGGCCCGTCAAAATACTGCAATGACAGCACAGCGCACGACTGATGTAACCACAATCCGATTCAGATGCACTTAGTGCATCTGAATCGGATTGTGGTTATATCAGTCGTGCGCTTAGTCAACCAAGGTGACAACCGACAACAAACTCCATCTGAGCTCTCTCTCTCTCTCTTATGTTGACCGCTGACACCGCCCTCAGCTCTCTCTCTCTCTCTCTCTCTCTCTCTCTCTCTCTCTCTCTCTCTCTCTCTCTCTTAAGGTTTACTCCGTCGATGTCTCTCTCTTCTTTTCCAATATGCACGCCAATTCCATGGCCTCCCAAGCCTTTTCCTCTAGCTCTGATTCAGGTAAACCTCGCACCTCCTCTCTCTCTCGTTGCGCCTTGACTTGTAACTGCTGTGTATCACTCTTCTCCAATTGCAAAATTCGGTCTGCCTCCTTTTCACATTGCCTATATCTCTCCTCCTTCGCACGCCGCTCTCTCTCCAGTCTCATTTGTAATTTGTGTTCCCACACCGATAAGATCGGCTGATAGATGCAGCCATCCGCTATCCCCCTGCCACATAGAGGGTGGCATCCGCCCTCCTTTTCTGCAGACGTGCTCCCCCTTCCCCGTGCGCTGCCACTCTCTGCCATCTCTCTCTCTCTCTCTCTC